AATAACCCTTTTTACATGAACAAGCATATATATATTGCCAATATTTTGCTCCCATGTTTTGGATAATTGTACCAAAGAACAAGAATTAATCCTAGAATGTCTACACATAAATTCATTACGGACGCTGAAATAATGCCGATGAGACGTTAATTTTTACCTCGCCCACACACTGATTACGGACTATTTGTGGGGCGATAAGAGGTACAAGCCACGAGAGAATGTACAGTGAGACCAACGTAGCCATTACACCTTTTTACAAGATGGAAAACATCTTTGCTGTTAGTGATTACATATAAAGAAATCTAACCACTTCACAGGCTATACGTTGTAGAACTGAATGCTAGGCCAAGTCATTCCTACCTGATACCATTAATAATTGGAATAGTTACCGGAAAAAGAGGATTATTAAACTTGGTCAATGTTATATTCAGTTAAGCCATGATACCAGATTTTGTCACTTTAAACTTCCATCGGCTTAAAAAACACATCTCAGATAAAACATCATGCATGCTCTTGTGGCTGTCACAATGGTACACTGCATTAATTTTTTCACATGCCCCAACTATAATATATTAAGAAACGATTCTATTCTAAAGGTTAAGTGAGTTTCTAATCAGTGGTTTATTGGAAACAATTTGAACAGTGCCTAATTTAGCTATTTTGAAATCGGCCATGTACATCCGACGTTCTGGGTGGATTTGCACATATATAATAACTAGTAGTAAGACTTAATACATAGTTTGAGACTCGTATTAAGTATTAAACAGTTAAATAGCTTTTCTTAGGAAACCCCTTTCCATCAACCGCACTGTTGACCTACCTTTTTTGCTCTGTTTTGATGTATTGATGTATTATTTAATACAATATGTATATCTCCCCTCATCCCAATGTTAATAAAAGGAAGCTCGGTGGGGACTTTTGGGATATAAGAAATGAATACAGACTGCCATATTGTCTGAATGTCTTAACAATCACCGGGTGTGACCACGTAGACAGGATATCATTAGGGTTTCTCATAAATACTCCATGAGCATGCTTGGTATTGTAGCTTGGGGATATTAAATGTAAGTTTGTTATCAGAGGAGATTGATAGTGAACTTTTAGTACCAGTTAGATATGATATCTATATGACTTCTTTCTGTTTGTCAAAGGATTAAGGGTATATGTGTGGGTAATCCTTCCACGCTGATGAAAGAAAGTCACTCTACTAGTTCATGTAATCTACGTCAAATAAGATCAGAAACACATGCATTATTACAACATACTCAGGGTACCAATAACAACGAAATGTACAAATTAACAAACATGATCAATATTATTATTACATGTTAATGCCATGTATGTAAATATAGCTATATAAACATATGTTTAATTTTTCAGCTTGTGTGAAGTCGTCCATAAATACAAGAAAACTTATATTTTCCCAAAATTATATTACCCTCAAAAGGGCAATTATATTCATGTTACATTTTTTCAGTCTTTTTTTAAAATTCGAATTACGTAATATTTATGTTACTTTGATTTTATTAGACCCATGTTGTTGTTACAGACCCAGGGATTGACTAGGTTCATTACATGTCATAAAAGTGCCAGGACATAATGTGGTGGCAATACATTCTCTAATTAACGGGCACGGGGACGGGCAATTTGGGTTTGTCCTCAGGGAATGTGTTATGCAATTTGTGTATTCACGAAATAACATTCAACAAATTATGTACATGGTCCTGTGATGTAGGATTGATGCATTCGTACTTCTTCTAAATAAATGAATTGCATTTTTTTTCTTAACCGTGTGCGAAATACGCATAATGTCGGAAAGCGCAAGTTAAATACTGACTTCATCCCAAAATAAATCACAAACCCTCTCTTATAATTTGTATATTATTCTATATTTTAATTATGTAAATCACGTTCCTGTCACTTTTAATGTAGAATACGTTAGTCACTCAACCAATTCCATTATTATTTTCCCAAAGATCAAAGATTAAAGCAGTTATCAAGATTTATTTTCCATATCTTTAGAAATACTTAATCTCTACATTGAAACTGCCATCATGATGTATTATTATTATTATTATTATTGATGTACAAATGGTTTGCACCCAACCATGCGCGTGCCAAATTATACAGCGTCAAGCTTTTAGAGCGCCAACTAAGTTTTCCAAAATAGAAATTAAGCCAAATGAATATATATCAAGTTGCCTTTTGCTAGAACATATGCATGCTGTTGTGTTTTTTCAAGGTAATCTTCGTTCTCTCATTGATAACAATATTAAAAGAACAAGAATTATAAAATATAATACGGGAATATATTACACACCTTATTTACGCATCCGGTTGCTCATAATACAATTTTCCCAAGGACCAGCGTTTTACAAAACGCGATTTTACGCGTTTCCGCCGAGATTTCACATTATAACAATGTATATCTACTACAATGAAACCGACAGCTCAGAACAAACCAAATTCAACACTTTTAAGTAGTGATAAAATAGTTTTCATCCTCTGTGCAATCCACTCTGTTGGCATATGTGCACGAGAGCATGTTAAAAAACACATCGCGGCCTCCCCGTAAAACGAATCCAAGCTCAAACACTTTCAATACAGAAGTTACCGCCAATGCAATCACCCCCGACAGCTAATCCTCTCAGTGCATTTGACCATAAAGTCTTCTCACATACCAAGCACCCCGCCAGGAAAAGTACCAGACGCCTCAACCGCCCACCCGTCAATATCATTGCAAGGACAGTATGTACTCCCGCTGACAGTGTGGAGTACTAATTAAACATTCCAGTAATGTTACCCGCCACTATATATGTTTTTTGTAACTTCTGATACTATTTTGCACACACAAAACAATTATAGAGCAATACATAGCAATTATCCTCCTTTACCAACATATACAGAGAAACACAGTGCTCAACTTAAAACACTTCCATTTGCACATATATAATAATTATACACAAATACATAATAATTATCTCCCTTTACCAATATATACAAAGAAAACACAATATTTTCGTAGTATTTTTTAAAAATAATCTTTGATAATATTTTGTAGATGATTTTTCCAAGGACTACCGTTTTACAAAACGCGATTTTACGCGTTTCCGCCGAGATTTCACATTATAACAATGTATATCTACTACAATGAAACCGACAGCTCAGAACAAACCAAATTCAACACTTTTAAGTAGTGATAAAATAGTTTTCATCCTCTGTGCAATCCACTCTGTTGGCATATGTGCACGAGAGCATGTTAAAAAACACATCGCGGCCTCCCCGTAAAACGAATCCAAGCTCAAACACTTTCAATACAGAAGTTACCGCCAATGCAATCACCCCCGACAGCTAATCCTCTCATTGCATTTGACCATAAAGACTACTCACATACCAAGCACCGCGCCAGGAAAAGTACCAGACGCCTCAACCGCCCACCCGTCAATATCATTGCAAGGACAGTATGTACTCCCGCTAACAGTGTGGAGTACTAATTAAACATTCCAGTAATGTTACCCGCCACTATATCAGATTTTTGTAACTTCTGATACTTTTTTTGCACATACAAAACAATTATAGAGCAATACATAGCAATTATCCTCCTTTACCAACATATACAAAGAAACACAGTGCTCAACACTTCAATTTGCACATATATAATAATTATACACAAATACATCATAATTATCTCCCTTTACCAATATATACAAAGAAAACAAATTTGGATACACCATATATACACATTTGTATATTTTTGTATATGTCGTATATACAAACTTGTATATTTTTGTATATATCATCATTCCAATCTTGTATATCCTTTGGAAATATCATCTTTCCAAAGGATATACAAGCTTGTATATATGGATTTTTTTTGCAGTGTATTAACAACAATCCTTGCACTCCACTTTCGCGATCGGCAGCAAAGAGATACAGTCAGTGTTACACGTTGTAACACTCAGTCACCACTATAACAGAGCATGACTGACTCCCTCGGCCTCCCTCATCACAAACTAGAGTTTTGTTTGTTGTTTAACGCCCAACTCAGCAATATTCCAGCTGTATGACGGCATTCTGTAAATAATCGGGTCTGGAACAGACAATCCAGTGATGGACATCATGAGAATCGATCCACGCAATTGGAATACGATTGGGATACGATGATACGATCAACCAAGTCAGTGAGCCTCCAGTGACTCCAGACTCGAGTATTTACGGACCGCCGTTATACGGCTGGGATGTTTCTGAGTGCGGGGTAATACAACAAACAAACTCACCAATGGGATATTAAAACGCGTATATCACTGACAGGTTTATTCAATATACATGAAATATGACTTTCACATTATTGATAGTGGTTATCCTATCAGTCTACAAATTGGTAAAGTTTGTAGGCATCAGTAAATGTAAGAAAAGATCAGATGAGATATATTATATGGTAGTGTCAGATATTGTACATAATATAAATATAACATTTAATTCAAACAATAAAACTCTACAAAATCCAGTCTGGTAAAGCTTAGGATACATTTCTTGAAACATGAATAAAACATATAGATTATATTAAAACCCACCTAAGCTTGAAATGTAGCGGCATAGTAAAATACACACATTTTCTGCAGTCATTAAATACATACTAAATGTTGATAGAGTACTTAGGTGGATGCCTTAAGCACCAGTAAAAGTATTATCAGCGAGAGTTACTGATAGTAACGCAAGAAAACGGTCTTGCTGGATAATGAGTGAGTGAGTGAGTGAATTGGGTTTAACGCCGCTTTTAACAGTATTCCAGTTATATGACGGCATGTCAGCTTAATGTATGAGGAAAGCCCGAAGTGATGCAGGCCTCAGACGTTTACCACTTCGGTGAAACCCACGAGCACGGGTATGGTGCTGACAAACCTAGAAACATAATTAGGGTGAACCTGGATTCGAACCCACAATCATAGGTTACTGGCGTGCAAGGCGCAACTCTGCACAGCGAATCTCGGCGCCTTAGACGACTGGGCCACCCGTGCCCCCTGATACATAATGAAAGTGAACGTGTAGCTATTTGAGTAAGTGCATTATTCAGGGTTCGTTTACTTTACCTTAGAGAACGTATGTTGTACCCTGTGGCGCCGAGATTTGATTGCGTAATTGCGTCCCTTAGACGTGATAGGCACCTACAGTTGTGGGTTTGAATCCCAGACTGGCCCTGATTAATGTTCAAGGTTTGTCAGCACCGTTTTCGAGCTCGTGGGTTTCTCCAAAGTTGTAAACATCTACGACCTGCATTAGTCTTGTCTTGTCCCAACATTTAACCGAAAATAGCCACTACAACTAATCTAATAATTCCTTATGTGCTTGTCATGCGTATGCGGAAACAAACGTTCGCTCGTCCTGCCGATGTCCCAGGTTCGGTTGGTCAATGTGCCCCCTTTGTGGTGAGGGTATTGCCCGAATACTGCTAAAAGCGGCGTATTATCATATTCACTCATTCACTGTAATCTACACGTATGTTCCTGCTGGTGTCAGTAGTACCACCTTGGGTCCCCAGAAGTCCGCCACCAGGATGTGTCCTGTGCTGGTAGTTGTGATACCAAGTGGTTCTATCAGTCTCCTCTCTCCTGAAGGGGTGTAGGTGAACACAGCCTCTCCCTCTGGTGTGATACAGTAGACAGAGTCTGTGCCAATATCTGACACCAGGATGTTGCCCCTGTCTGTAGCACAGAGGCAGCTTGGGTTACATATCAGGTTCTCCCCAGAGTTGAATCTACTGATTGACCTCATCACTCTCCCCGAAACATCCAGGATGTCAACACAGGGAGGATCCCAACAACCTGCTGCTAATGTTGAAGGACTCAAGGCTGTTAGGCATATGTACTTCTTCTTTGTTGTGACACGTGACTGTAGTACAAGGTCAGGGGTCACCCGTACTATTACAATCTCACCGTGTGACCAGAATGATACAGCTACCTGGTTGTCCCTCAGCCTCGTCACAGAGCTTGGCTTCCTTGCAAGATCCAGTTTACTGTGTCGTGATATGTTATTCTTTGTGAAGAAGGATTTCAGACATGTATTGTTGCGGTCAGTGACCACCGATATCTCCTCACCGTCCACAACCAGGACTGTGACGTCATATGAATCCAGCTGCGTGATGTCGCCATCGACCCTAATGACGACTGTCTTGTGTAACACTGGTCTGCACATGACGTCAAATGTGCCACACTGTATCTTACCAAGTCGCGTATCCATGACGTCAAAAACGTTCTGTTGAATTCTTCCAAGTTGTATATCCTTGTAGAATTTCCTCTCATCAATTTCACTCACAAATATAAGTTTTGAATCACGAACACTGTCTGTGAAAGTGACATCCCTGTCTGTTGCCTCCTTGATTGCCCCAGACCGACACACCTGGTAAATGTCAAACATGTCCGTCTCACTCCCAGACTTCAACACCTGGGTGATGTACTCTATGTATTGTTGATACATCTGCATGTCTATTTCCCCTGACTTTATCCGCCCCCTCAGGTGTCCAGAGTGCTTCTCTGTCATCTCATTCAGCTCCTCCAGCAGCTCTTTCTCCTTCTGTTTAATCACGTCCATGGCTTTCTGTGAGGCCTGTCTGATCTGTGACTTTATTTTGTCTTTGTTGTGGATGACTGCATCAATCTGTGATTTGTGTTGTTGAAGTGATCTGCCCATGTCGTCAAAGCGCTGTGTGATCAAGCCCCTATTGTGTGTAAGAACACTTCTCATCTCAGACATCATGGACTGAATAGTGACCACAGAGTCGCATTTCCTGTGGTATATGACACAGCACTTGTGGCATATTGCTTTATTACAGTCTTTGCAGCAGAAATCCATGACTTCGTTGTGTTCCGTGCACATCTGTCGTCTAGTGACCTTCACTGCTCAACCAAGGTCAGCAATCACGTGGTTTGACGTACCAGGAAGAGACGTATGCATCTTGACACATCTCTCACAGAGTAGCACATCACAGTCTTGACAGTAGGAGTTGGCCGGATGACTTTCTCCAAGATCCTGGCAGGGATGGCAGCGGTTTTCTATATCTGAACAAGTCATGGATAAATCTGTCACATCAAACGTGCAATGTTTAACACAATAATGAGATAATGTTTGATGGAATATATAAATGTACATTGGGAGATTCAAGTGTAAATGTTAATTCGGATCATTGTGCGGTTCATCTTACACAGTGCCCGGAAAGTACCTTGGGATAATCTACATGTATAGATTTCAAAACTGAAATGATAAAGATGTATTCAAGATAATCCTGATGAATATAGGTGACCCTTCAGTTTCTTCTTGATTACTTTGATCTACAATAAATAGTTTTCCATCACCATTTTAATGACGCATGAACGTGCATAGATTGAACCTGGTTTGGTATTATCTCGGTCATTCAGGATAGAGAACCTGCTGTATGACAGTGTCACATTCTATCTCCTATAAGATATTCTACTTGGGGTTCTTGGTTTCAGTGGAAACTGAATCGGTGACGTTGTAATTTAAAATAGACGTATAATATCGCTTTCAAGTTTATTGCACTTATATAGCGAGGTGCGTGCGGTCCAGTTTGATGGTACCATAACCCCGCGCACGCACAGTTCGCTTACTTTAAAGTCTACCAGTCCCTCTTTTATCCTTTTAATCTCTGCACCAGGCAGAGTGACAACTAATACCGCCTTTTACTTCTTTTGGTATGATGCGGCCAGGGATCTTACGCCCCTGGGAAGAATATTGTCATCTTTCGGTTTCTTCTAGATCACATTTACTTACCATGATCAGTATTTTTCCCACAGGCTAGAGTGTCCAGAAGTCCCTGTATGAGGAAACTGGGCTTGATCTGTTTCACCCACTCCTCCACTGGTCTGTCAGGCTGGGGAGCTCGCGTCATCTGACGACAGTAGGGACACGGGATGGACTTGGCTCTGATGGCGTCTTGTCTGGTTTTCAGGAATTCCCCCAGGCAGCCCTTACAGAAGGTGTGGCCACAGGTCAGAGTACAGGGGTCTTTGTACCCCTCCCTACATATGGAACAGGTCAAGAAGTTCTCATTCAGACTCTCCAGCTTTCTGGCGGCTGCCATCTGAAACAAAGGAATAACTGTTTAATATCATTCATGTATTTCAGGGACTGGCGTTTGAATGTTAATACATTTTTATTGTATGTAGTGCAGGTTTGGAATTATTGAATATCTGATAGTTATGACAATATAAGCTATCATTGACAGTAGTGACCAATCATTATGCATGTAAACAGCAACTGCATATTTAACACTGAACAAGTGACTTGAACATGTTGAAAGCAAGGCGGGTTCCTCTGTACTGTCCGTCCTACATACATGAGTTGGTGAGTTGTGGTTAACGCTCCTTTGTTCAGTGTTTCACTTAACTGTTTGATTGGCGTTCTAGGCGTTTTTACGCCGCTTTTAGCAATATTCCAGCAATATCACGGCAGGGGAAACCAGAAATGAGCTTCACACATTGTACCCATGTCGGGAATAGAATCCGGGTCTTCACCGTGACGAGCAAACACTTTAACCACTAGGCTACCCGACCGCCAGCAGCAGTTGGTGAGTAAAGAAGAAAACATACAACTTTATTTATAACAACTACTGCATTTAGCAACATTCGATGTTGATCCTTACACCGTTATCAAGATGGAGTGTACAGTATTCCAGTTACATCTGGGCGTGTCAGCTTAATGTGGGAGGAAAACCCGAAGTGACGCATGTCCAGGACGTTCACCACTTTGGTGAAACCCACGAGAGCTCTCATCACTGTCACTGCTAATTTCAACAACAACTATAGATCCACTGATTTCGCTGATATTAATTCTAACCTTTCAATATCAGTTTCTAAAACGTATCAGCTCTACCCTTTTCATTTCACATTTTAATTAGTGATTTTGTATTCTTTCATCAGACAAAAACAAATATCAACATGATCGAATTGAGCTAATTAAAAGATTAATAGTCGATTTCAAAATTGGTTGAAATTGAAGAGAACATTTTGATGGACTCTATTAATAAACATTAATATTAATAATCGTTCACATATGTTTCACATAACTCCACACGCATTATATGAATATTGTTTTATATTGTTGAATATTCCAGAAATATGAGGGCGGGGGAAGCCACATTGTACCGATATCGGGAATCGGATGCTGGTTTGGGTCTGATAGATTCTGTCAGTTTAAAGTGACTGGTTGAATATTAGGCATAAATGTGAGGCAGACATTTTAAAAGCACCCCACACTACATCCCATGTTGCTTCAGTGTAAATGTCTATCAAATACAGAGAAAGTTTGACAGGAACTAATTTGAAAATTTGAAGTGCAATATATGATACTATAAATATACATGAATAAATATTTTCCTCTGGCTGTAGAAACACTGTTCACTGGGTTTGTATGATTGTATCATGTTACAGAATTCACGCAAACAGTACTCCAGCATGTTGGTCTCATGACATCAGTCTAGCGGCGTATTACGTCAAATATTATGACAAACAGCATGAATTGTTGACAGAATTAATAGTAAAAGCTATTTATTTCAACACCCCCACAGAATTACACATATGCTAAATACTCTTCAAACTTTCACAACGGACAATGCTCTAAAAGTACATGCTGCTCTACTTTCTGTTTTTAAGTCAAGGGAGATAATCTGAAAGAAAACCTCTTTCAAAACTATTGTTGCCACACTGGAGTGGTTCAAGTCCATACATGTACCGGTTTTACATGTAAACTTATAATTTCAATAACATTCCATGTTTGCTATTTTTACATTTTTTGCGTCAATAAGAACTGAAAATAAAATTACATTAAATAATGGTCAAGTTTTTTAATTTATTTTTTTTTTAAAATAGAACTGAAAATTTTGCCTAAACCATACAGCTCTATATAATTGTGATATAATTGCGTCCCACGTCTTTTGCTGTGTCATACTTTCACAGCAAAAAAAATGCAGTTTCCGGTATCCGGATACCTGCCGGATACCACCGGACACTTACCCAAAACGCGTCCGGGTATCCAGTGGCAGATACCTTGCCGGATACCAGATCCGTGGTATCCGGCATGGACACCTCACCTGAAAGTATGCCACCTGGAATCTGGGTATCCGGCACCGGATACCTCACCGGATACCTCAATCTGGGTGTCCAAGGATCCGGCACCGGATACCAAGGATCCGGCACCGGATACCTCATTCTGAGTTTCCAAAAACATGTCACAATTTGGGGGTGCGTTTTGTTCAATTAAGTGTGAAACACCTAAATATATATTGGAAACTAACCATGAAAATTGAACATTGCTGAAGGTATCCGGCAGGTATCCGGCAGGTATCCGGATGCAATTTTTCGAGATGTCTTATTTCTGGTAAATAATGTTAGCCTGGGCATATCAGATATCTGTAGTAATATTCTGTGTCATTTTAGTTGTAAATATCCCCTTAAAGTTGAGATCTATGGGCATGTACTTTGGGAGAAGACCATTTTTTTCAATTTCATCTGTAATTCTTTTTAGATGTTAAGCTGTTTAATGAACAAACATCAGTTCTAATACATGTATGATGATATCCTTAAATTTCATGTTCAGACTTCCAGATTATTCTGAGTGAAAGTATAAACTCATCGACCGTGTGCTCACTTGGGCCTTTGGTCCTAGTGAGATGATAATATGATTATTTGTAAAGGTACAAGTACTTGTTATGAGCATACCAGCTTCATTTAAGTTTGAAACACAATATGCCTCACTCTGAGGGTGACATGTACCAGATTTCATCACACTACAGAGAGCTGTTCCTCAGTTACTGTGAACATTTTTACTGAAAGACATTGAAAGCTAATTTGACCTTCAATATCGGTTGCGACTATTTCAAAAACAATTGTAAAGTGCTTCATTCAGTGTAATATTGACAAACATATGACAATGATATACAACTATATGTATAAGAGTTATTTAGACTTCTGCAGGAAAAGGCACATTAGAGAACAAGAGTCATCAGAAAGATGACATATCCCCCCGGCAGCTGTCTGTAAAGTAACCACTAGTAAATGTGCAATTCTGTATGTAATGAGTCAACAGTTGAATGTTCTTTAAGAAGCATGCATTGTTTACCCACAAAAGATCCACCATGGTCGCATCCATATGAATGCCAAGTTTCGATCAAATACATTGAATGTTTTTCGAATTCTGCCCCAGAAATGAACCTCATCCCCAATTGAGTCTATATCCAACTTCATTCCATAAAAAAATAAAAATTAGAAAAATCCCAAAATTTGAAAGGCACCACTTCAGTATGTGCCTGATAGCTTTGCCAAGTTTCGATCAAATACACTGAATGGTTTTCGAATTCTTCCCCGGAAACGAACCCCATCCCCAATTGAGTCTATGTCCAACTTCATTCCATAAAAAAATTACTAAATAAAAATTAGAAAAATCCCAAAATATCAAAAGGCACCACTTCAGTATGTGCCTGATACCTTTGGCAAGTTTCGATCAAATACACTGAATAGTTTTCGAATTCTGCCCCGGAAACGAACCCCATCCTCAATTGAGTCTATGTCCAACTTCATTCCATAAAAATTTTTAAAAATAAAAATTAGAAAAATCCCAAAATATCAAAAGGCACCACTTCAGTATGTGCCTGATAAGAGTTGCCAAGTTTCGATCAAATACACTGAATGGTTTGGGAATCCTGCCCCGGAAAAGGAAATGATTACGGACGGACAGACAGGCTCATCGCTATATCCCCCGTATTATATGCCGGGGGGATAGAAAGTAAGTGTATGACCTGTTGCCAACTTCTATCCCTGCCCTAAGGAAGAGTTTGGCCATTAACAATTTTTTTGTCTGGCTGTGACATTGACCTTTAACATAGCAGATCAATGTGTTATTCCAAAGATGTCCAAGCAATGCATGGTTTCATACGATAACTGTGGCTATCAAACTGAGGCAAAATATTGGAAAATCCCCATTTTACACAGCTGGCTAAAGAAACAAACAACAAACAAATTATCAATTTCTTTTATTTATATGCATATATCACACATTGAACAGTGTTCACATAATGGTTCCTGATGCAGTATGCACTTTCCTCCTATTCTTCAATACTCATAACAGAGCGGGATAACTGTTCGCTTGAAAGCATCAGCAGACCATGCTCACCAGTTCTGAGTTACTTGCCCTCAAACATCCTTTTCCTTCTATATTGCCATGGAAAAACAGGAACCAGGATGAGGGGAGGCCAGATGGGCTCTATCCCTGTTTGTATGTGTTAGTAGAATTGTGAACATTCTATTTGGTGTTTGGGTCCACATTTATAGACAAGTAGTCGCAAACATCATTCCTTGCAAGTGATTACCACATGGCCAAAGACAATAAATTCTTCAACGTCCTTGAAGGGTCCCACTCCGACTTGGCATTGGTTGGTCTTCTCACATTAGCCTGACCACCCTTTGTGAGTGTGTCCCAGTGTCAATTGGCATACAACTTCTCGGTAGGCTCACATTGAAATAACAGGACTCTCCTCATCGCTGTCTGCCAATCACTTCGGATATCTGGAAGGGTCCTTCCAGACTGTCAACCTGTCATCCAGGTATCTCAAGCTGGACTTCAGTTTCTGCAAAATTATGTATAAAGATTGTAGCAAAAGAAAAGAATTGTTGCAACATGTACTTACAGATAAAAGGCAGCAAATTCACTTAATTTATCATCTTTGAGTTTTGTTATATACCAAACATTTGAGATATATATTGTTCCATGCTGATGAGTTGAAACAATCATTAACTGACATCTCTTAAAAATGTTCCTAGCAACCTATGCTTGCCATACATGCCAAAGTAATAGATGAGGTAGCAAGTGGGCTCATTGAAAGCTCGTCATCGTACCCAATAACGTGGGATGTTGTCATAACAGTCATCATCGGTGCGTCTGGATCGAGCTCATAACATTAATCTCTGGTTTGTCTAGTTGAGATTTGAGATTTGATTAATTTATAATCCTTGTCATTTAGCCGAACTATTGCTGGATGTGGTGTTAAATGAGTGAATTGGGTTTAACGCCTCTTTGAACAGTATTCCA